TAGTAAATTAGGACCAGGAGCTAGCTTAAAAGGCTACTATCTGGAACTGGGGAGATAGTACAGCACGTAAGATGTTTCTCTTGCATGTGACCAACCCTGGTTTGGTCCCCAGCATCCCATATTGTCCCTCAAACATCACCAGGGGTAATTTCTGAGTGCAGAGCCAAGAGTAACCTGTGAGCATCACTGAGTGTGACAACCCCACCCCTCAAAAGAAGAAAGAATAACTTCAAAAGTCTAACTAACTCCCCAGCCCTAAGTAGCCTTGGGTTTATTTATTTGGTTTGGGGGCCATAACCAATGATGCTTGGGGCTACTCCTGGCTCTGTGCTCAGGTATCCCTCCAGGAAGGTCTCTGCGGACCTTATGCAATGTTTGGGATCAAGTCCAGGTCAACTGTGTCCAAGGCGAGAGCCTTACCTGCTGTACTATTTTTTCAGCCCTGATGTTTGGGTTTAATCCTCAGAACTGCCCAGTCCCCTCCCCACGAGGAGTAGCCTCAGAGTGGCACTGTGCAAGAGATGGCTCTCTGGAACCCAGGCCGCGTTTTCATTCATTCATCCACTGAATGTTTATTGCACACTTGCTAGATGACGGAAAGTGTGCAAAGTTCTGGAAATCCAAAGATCATTTAGACGACTTCCTGAACTCAAGGCTTGTTCTTTATTGTCTTAATTGGGTATATAAATGTTTCTGATCAATCATTCATCATTTAATAAATATTCCTTTATTTAACTAATAATTGATTATCAGTGCTCATTGAGTATTACGTGAGTTGCTCTGGTACAGAATACTGTTTATATTAACCTTAAATATTTTTTGATATTTCACTTTTTTTTTTCACTGTTTGGGTCACACCTGGCAATGTACAGGAGTTACTCCTGGTTCTGCACTCAGGAATTACTCCTGGTGGTGCTCAGGGGACCATATGGGATGCTGGGAATCGAACCCGGATCAGTCACATGCAAGACAAATGCCCTATCCACTGTGCTCCAGCCCCGATATTTCACTTTTTAATTTCACATACAGCACTGTGATTTATAGTACTGCTAATGATAGGATTTAATTTTTCTAATAATGATTTTGGGGTCACATACAGCAGCACTTGGGGGCCCTTCCGGGTCAGTGGTCCTGCTGGTGCTCCCGGGACCATGTGCTTCCAAGGATGGAGTCCAGGCCTCTTTGATGCAAAACAAGCCAAGCCCATTCCACTCTCTATCCCAATCAGTTTGGACACAAAGGAGTTGAATCAGAGAACTTAGGTGTTGCCCTAGTCCCAGGTTCCTAAGTGCTGGCTGTCGGTCTCCAATCCTGTCTGACTGGAGAGTTCTTGTCTGTAACCATTGTGGAACCTCCCTGTCAATGTGAATTATTCCAAAGTGATGCGACAGGCCAACACAGGAATGTCTTAGTTCCCAGAGAAGAAGACTCCTGTTGTGGCAAGGCTGGAATGCAATAAAGGTTTCACAGATGCTGAGGTTTGAGCAATGTTTAAAGAAGAGCATTATACTCTGGCACCTAGCACTGATCTTTGCATATGAACTCAGTGAAAGAGTGAGGCAGCAGTGCACAATACATAATGCCCATACATCTGGGAGGAGCCGTTTTCCTATTTACATGGAGCCTGGGGTGTTTCCCCCACCTTCAGAGGCATCCCTTCTGTGATTTTGCAAGGGCCTGCAAGGTCAGCAGATCATCTGTGCATTATATCATTGATGGTGACAAAGGCCTTGTGAGGTAAGCAGTACAGGTATTAACTTCGAAAGACAGGTGAGGAAACCTAGGCTGATGTTGCATGACTCGTCCAAAACCATACATGATGAGTAAGAAGCAGAGTGCGAGTTGGACCTGGTGGCCTGCCTTTGGGAGGGAGGGACCGGATAACAGGGTTCCTCTCATCCACCCAGGCTTCGACGCAAGGCTTTGTTCTTTTCACCTTCCTACATCATGTTCCCTCTACCTGAACTCACCCCTCCTTCTAATTTCCAATTCTCCAAATTCAGCTTATTTTTCATTTTGTTTCTTTATGGGTCACACCTGGCGATGCACAGGGGTTACTCCTAGTTCATGCACTCAGGTATTACTCCTGGCGGTGCTTGGGGGACCATATGGGATGCTGGGAATCGAATCTGGGTTGGACACATGCAAGGCAAATGCCCTACCTGCTCTGTTATCACTCCAGCTCCTGGGCTTATTTTTCAAGATCGAATTTGTCCAATATCTTCCTCCCTCATGTCTCCAAATTCATTCATCCCAGTATTAAAATTTAGTGAAATCCAATTAGTTTCTTCCTTCTTTCCTTCCTTCCTTTTTTCCTTCCTTCTTTCGTCCCTCCCTCCTTCCCTCCCCCTTTCTTCTTCCTTTCTCCTTCCTTCCTTCCTTCCTTCCTTCCTTCCTTCCTTCCTTCCTTCCTTTCTTCCTTTCTTTCTTCCTTTCTCTCTCCTTTCTTCCTTTCTTTCTTTTTTTCTTCCCTTCTCTTCTTTCTTTCCTTCCTTCCTCCCTCCTTCCTTCAGACCTATATAATATTCAAATATGAAGTGTTTTATTCATGTCACTGTCATCTAGTTCTCATCAGAATTCCTGTCACCTCATCTCTCCTGCCTTTAGTTTGCCTTTTATTGTTATTTGGTGTAGCCTTGTCAATCTCTAGGTCAGGTACCTGGGGTGCAAACTATACACTATTTTAAACTTCATACATTTATCCCAGACTTACTTTCTTAGTCTTTTATTAACTCTGACTATCTGCTCTGCCCACCTGCTGTTAGATTGCTCAGCTCCTAAATCATGTGAAATAACTACCTTATCAACTTTTCTCTAAAGTATCTTGGATACCAGGTTGGGAAAGTATGCAAGGACTCTCATAGGCACATACAATAATTAATAATAATCAACACTTAATAAATGGCTCTAATAGCCAGGTTGTGAAAAAATGCACTACACGTATTAACTCATTAAATCCTGTAGACATCTATTATTATCCCCCCAGCGAACAGATAGAGACATGTAAAATTCTTAGCTAGTAAGTGGCACAATGATGATTAAAACCCAAATCGACTATTAAAACCCAAATCGACTACAGAGATACTCTGAACTATGACATTTAATTCTCCTCCCCCTGGTTTTTGGGCCTGGCTTTGTGGTGCCTGGGGACAACCCTTAGAGGTTCTGGGGGATGCTACAGGGGTGCTGGGGATGATTGACTCATGACCCCCCAAAAGGAAAGCAAGATCTCCAGTTCTTTGAGCTATCTACCTACCCAGACAATACTTTATAGGTGATGGATATGCAGATTACTACATGTAGAATATTCCCTTTCTAGACTTTGTGGGAGATTAAACTAAAGAAGTGGAAAATAATACTTATGCTCCTCTGTAGGGCGTGCTATTGTGACAGGTCTCTCCCTCCTGTTTTTCAGTGAGTTTTGATATATGAAGCATCAAGGCCATTTTAAAGAATTAAGCTCCCAGGGAGCCAGAGAGATGTATAGGTGGTAGGTGTTTGCCTTGTACACTTGGGCTCTATCCCTGGCATCCCATATGTTCCCCTGAGCCAGGTTGTAAACCCTGGGAGTACTGCCGGGTATGCCCCCTCCCACCCCCCCACCCCCCAAATAAAGATTTAGGCTCCAAGACCAAGGTGATAACTCCAATGGTTGAGCACCCTCTTTATGTGTGGGAGGTCTGGTTCAATCTCCAACACTGAGTCACCCCACGACAGTGTGGAGAAACCCCAGCTCTGCATTGGGAGCACCATAGGGGATGTCCCTCCTGGAAGACAACCCAAGCAAAAATTAGGTTCCAGAAGTGGTTACATAGTAAAGGTTGTGTTTCCAGTACAAGTAGGACTGAGACTAGGTTTCTGGATTTCAAGGAAGGGCTCTTAACTTGAAACTGATAGGAAGGAGTCAAACATCTTAATTGTTTCTGTTTTGGGGCCACACCCAGCTGTGCTCAGGAATCACTCCTAACCGGGTTCTGGGCACTACACACATACAGTGCTGGGAATGGAACTCACAAGTGCCCTTACCCGCTGTACTATCTCTCCAACCATACCTTTTAAAATTTGGTTTTAGGGCCATATCCGGTGCTGCTCAGGACTTACACCTGGCTGGAGATCACTCCTTGAGCACTTGGGGGACCTTATGGGATGCCGAAGATCAAACCTGGGTCTGCCACGTGCAAAGCAAGCGCTCTACCCGCTGTACTACTGCTCTGAATTTGAACTCTTTTGGAGGGGTGGTGGGGGAGCACACCGGTGATGCTTAGGACTTACTCCTGACTCCGTACTCGGTGATCATTTCTGGTGGTGCAGGGTGTGGTGTGTGTGTGGGGTGAGGGGAACCACATGCGGTACATGGAATCTAACAGAGGTCAGCCCAGAGCAAAGCAAGGACCTTAACCCCTGCACTATCATGCCCTGAATTAAAAAAAAAAGTCATGCTGCACCAATATTCGAATGCACGTCGCATATTAAAAAATAGTGAAAGTGAAAAATGTTATTCTCTAAATACTGGCAGAGCTAATTCAGTAAAGCCCTTCTATCTGGGACTGCGAGTCGAAGTTTAGAACTTCCCCGCAGGCAAGGGCAGAGAGGGCGCCACCTGTGCAGGAGAAGCCGGGGACCCGCTTTAGGGACTCGGACGCAGCCTCTTCTCGTTTCTTACACTCTAATTGGCTCTCCCCCATGTGGACCCCGCCTCCTCCTCAGCGTGGACCATTAAAGAGCCCAGCTGGGGCTTCCAATCGGGTGTCAGGCCCACGAGATTTCCCCCCCTCCCAACTCGGTACGCAAACCCCCCTCCTCGCTCTCGCCGGTGGTTGGTTGGCAGGCGGGGAGGGCCCGCCTCCGCCGCCTCCGGATTGGCCGCGGGCCCGCCAGCTTCACACCCGGCCCGCGCGCCCTCCGGGCGTGGGCCCCGCCCCCGCGTGACGGCCCGGCCGGGCATTGGCTGCCGCGCGCAGCCGTTTCCGGTTTCGGGGAGGTGGGTGGGGTGCGGAGCGGGCCCGGGAGTCGCTACCGCCGCGGCCGCCGCCTACAGAGCCTGAGTCGCGCTGGGTGCTGCCGGCACGATGCGTCCGGGGCCCGGAGGCTGCTGCTGCCGCCGCCCGCTGCGGCCGAACGGCTGCGTGGCCAACGGAGAAGTGCGGAACGGCTACGTGCGGAGCAGCGCCGATGCCGCGGCCGCCAGCGCCGGCCAGGTAGGACGCGGCACCGGGCTCGGGTGGCCGTGGCGCTGCCCCGGCGCTGACCGGGGCCTGCCCAGCTCCTGCTCGGAGCTCGCTCTCCGGCCACCCGTGCGGGACGCGCCCCGCGGGTCCTGCCCGGGGCGCCTCCCTCCTGCCCTCGAGGGCTTGCGGCTGCCCGGAGCGTCCCCGAGCCGCCCTCGGCGGCCAGAGAGAGAGAGAGTTGGGGGTGGTACCAGGCGGAAACAGTCGCGTCCCTTCCCCCCCCGGGGCCGGGCCGGTGTCCGCAGAGCCCGCTTCTCCTCTTCCTCCGGCCCTGGGGACACTTGGCCCTGGCGAGCCAGGGCGCTATCACCCCAGGGGCTTGTCTAACCTGGTGGTGACCAGTGAATGAGTCTTCAGGGCCAAGCTAACGAGGGCTGAATCACCAAAGCCAGGCAATCTCGAAATAATTTGGGAAAGTTCTGATAGGCGGTGTGTCAGACCCTGGGTTTCGTGCAACCCCCCCCCCCCCCCCAAAGCAAAAGCAAAAAAAAAAAGACGCTCAAAAAAAAAGATGCATGATCAGTGCTGTTGGGCAAATGTTATTTGCAGTTAGTTATTTGCAATCATCTCTCCTTTACTTATTAAGGCAAACTTATTATTATTATTATTATTATTTAAAAAAGTAGCTTCTTTGTCTTAGTAGTGACTTAAACGAGTCTTAAGCATGACTCGTGATTTACTTTGGCTTGGACGTAACTCTCTGGCATCCTCTTCCCCTCTCTGTGGTTACTGTTACTGTGTGTCTGTGAAATAGAAACTACTGCTCTGTTCCAGGTTAATGACAGGGAAGCTGTGGGGAAAGGGGACTCTAAAGGAAGTGGGGTTGGAAGGTGGAAAGCAACATAATACACAGCTTCAAGGGGGGTTGCTTTCCCCTTTATTTGACTTGCTGTTTTTTTGTTTGTTTGTTGCTTTCTGCTTTAAAGAAATATTTGTAAGAGTGTCAGAATTCCTAAGTGGTGGTAGGAATGGTTATTTTCTGAGTAATGCTGCCATTAGCATTGATGAGATGAAGTTGAGGTTTCAGATAACAGGGTAGGACTTAGAAGTCCCACTGCAGAGGAATGAGTAGGTCCTGATTTTATTTTTATTTGTTTCGGTTTTGGGGCCACCTCTGGTGATGCTCAGGGGTTACTCCTGGATCAGGAATCACTCCTGGTGGTATTGGAGGACCTTTGGGGTACCAGGATAGAACCCAGGTTGGCTACGTGCAGGACAAGTGTCCTACTTGCTCTACTAGCTCTCTAGTCCATATGTGTATATATATGTGTGTGTGTGTGTATATATATATACATATATACACACATATATATATACATTTATATATTTAAGAATAAGGTAAGTAGGTTGCGATTTTGAAGAGATTAGAGGTATCCAGACAAAGGAATTGTGTATAAGTGCTTCCCCTCATGTAGCATAGTAGTTTTGATTTAGCAGTAAATCAAATTCCTCTACCTCACAATCCCTAAAAACTTAGCATTTGTAGGCATATTATTTCTTCAGAGATTGCTGACTAATATCAGGTTGCTAAAGTGAAACTTAAAGATTATATGACTCTATTACTTGGTTGATTTTTTTTTTCAATTTAAAATACATTTTGGTGAAAATTACATGTGAGTCACTCTGGTGATGTTTGGAAGAAAGGTCTCTGGAAAGCCCTAAAGAATATTAGAAGTACAGTATCCCTGCTAGAAAATGATCTTTTTGCCAGTTCCTTTAAAACATTTTTCTCCTCTCCATCTCTTTCTCTTTTCTCTATTCATTTTTAGAAAAGCTTTTCTAAAATGCCAAAAACCGAATTCTTCAGTTTTCCTTCTCTTTTCCTTTCTTGTTTCCTTCTCTCTCCTGCCTCTCGCGCGCGCGCGCGCGCGCGTCTGTGTGTGTGTGTGTGTGTGTGTAGGGTGTGCAGGAGTGAAACCAGGTTTGCACTGTATAAAGCAAGTGCTGAGCTATAGCCACAGCCCCCTAAAAGTCCCCCCCCTTTATTTGATGCTTTCTTTTGGGGGGCAGGGAAGGGAGTTTTGGTTTACAGTTCTTGGAACTTACTTCTGAATCTGTGCTCAGGGGTTATACCTGCTAATGCTTAGGACTTACTCTTGAATCTGTGCTCAGGGTCACTCCTGGCAATGCTTGGAGGTAATTATGTGATGCTGGGATTCAAACCAGGGCACCAGGGCTGGCCACGTGTGAGACAAGCACCTTACTTTCTGTACTCTCTCTCTCTCTCTCTCTCTCTCTAGTCCTTTGGATCAAAATTCAAGTTTATTTTCTCCCATTTGTCTTTTGGAGAACTGTAGTAAAGCTAGAGACTTCAAAGATCCCTTACACCTTTCTTTTTTTTTTTTGGGTGAATTCAAGGCTGGTGCCTGGGCTCCAGCAAGGAAAGCCTGTGCTTTTACCGTTTGAGCTAGCTTTCTGTCCTAATCCCTTATACTCTGAAGAATTTTTGTTTGAAAAGGTGGATGTGTATGTATGCCCCTTTATTGGATTTGGGTTTGGAATTATAGTCATTGTGTCCTTCCTATGGTAGAAACAGCATACAAAGCAACCAGACATTACTTAGTTTTTGTTTATTTTTCCCCTTGTAAAGCAAAAGTTGAGGTAAAATATAGGACATGAACTATACATTTTTACCATTTGTAAATGTAAGGGCTGGAGCGATAGCACAGGGGCTGGAGTGATAGCACAGCAGTAGGGCGTTTGCCTTGTGCGCAGCCAGCCCGGCAGAGCCGGATTCGATTCCTCTGCCCCTCTTGGAGAGCCCGGCAAGCTAGTAAGAGCATCTCGTCCGCACGGCAGAGCCTGGCAAGCTACCTGTGACGTATTCAATATGCCAAACACAGTAACAACAAGTCTTACAATGGAGACGTTACTGGGCCCGCTCGAGCAAATTGATGAACAACGGGAGGATAGAGATAGTGCTGCCTGTGCCACATACAGCTCTCTGGAGGAACCAGCTGGGTGTTGCTGTCTTCTTTCCCTGATAGTGATAGTAAGCGTATAGTTCAGTGATCTTAAGTCTATTCAAAACATTCTGCAACCAACACCAGCACTCATTTCCATAACTTCAATTTTTTGGGGAGCCATATCCAGTGGTGTTGGGGGCTCCTCTGAGCTCAGTGCTCAGGGGGTATGCAGTGCTGGGAATCGAACCTGGTCCTCCTGCAAGAAAGCATGTGCTCTGCCCATTGAACTAGCTTTTTGGTTTTGAAACTCTGTATTGATTAAACAGTAACTCCTCACTCTATCCCTGGGTTCTACATTCTATTTTCTGTCTCCATAAATTTGTGGTGTCTATAAGTAATTATACAGAATTTGTATATGTGTGTGTGTGTGTGCGTGTGTGTGTGTGTATGTGAGAGAGAGAGAGAGAGAGAAAGAGAGAGAGACTGGATTATTTATTTAACACAGTGTCCTCATGACTTAACAGTGTATTGGCATGTATTAGCCTTTCCTTCCCTGTTAACAATAGTCCATTGTATGTGAGGTCATGAGTTGATCAGTTTGTTTCATTGACCAGTGGCCCATTTATATATCAGTGGTCCCGCTAAATTCTGTTACATAACCTAGTTGTTTAATGGGTTATCTGTCAGGATTTTATGATTACTCAGTGACCTCTCTGTAATGATGAAATTACCTAAGATCTCCCCCCAGTGTGTCCCCATTGCTAAGTGATAGCACATTCTGCTAAAGCAGTTTCACCACATTCTGCTTAAGCAGTTTCATCAGCAGCCCCTCAGGGGGCTTCCATGGTCGTAGCTGTGGTGACCTTGGGTTCAGATATCTTTTTGAGACTCTCCTAAAACTGAAGTTTCTGGATCTTACGGCAGTTCTTTAATTTTTTTGATGACCCCCCATACTGTCTCCCCAGCAACTGGCCTGTTTATATTCCCATCAAGCAGTGTTAGAATTGAGTTGAATTGTAGAACACCCCGGTGGTGTGGTAGAATTGCTGGGTGGGGCTGGAGAGAGAGTACTGGGGTGAAGACACTTGCCTGGCATGCAGCTGACCCAAGTTTGATCTACCGCACCGCATGGTGTCCCCAAGCACTGTCAGGAGACACCCCCCAGCACAGCCAGCAGTAGTCCCTGAGCACTGCTGGGGGTGTCTCTCCCTTCCCCGTGCGCCCCCCCCCCCCCCCCGTGCTGCCAGGTGGATAGGTAGAGTGGAAAAAAACCCACTGGTTTGCAAAGTGGCACGACTGTGGCATTAGTGAGTCCGGGAGAACAGCGCTGGAGGTGGCCGTGTCCTCACGGACATAGACATTCTTGGGATTGTTCCTTTGGCCACACCCAGGGTCCCGGGGCCTGTCCCTGGCATGGTGCTTGCTTCCATTCCCTGACCGACAGCGGAACCACAAGGTGCCGTGGGGCAGATCCAGCCTTCAGTGTGGGAAACATGCTCTCGAGACCATGAAGCTATCTCCATAGCCCATTCCTTTTCTTTTGGGGTGGGTGTTTGGGGGTGGGGGGCGGGTGTACTTAGAGACTTTTCCTAACTCTGTGCTCAGGGGTCACTCTGACTGGTGCTGGGACACCGTAGGCAGTGTTAAGAGTTGACCACGTGCAAGGCAAGAGTGTTACCCTACAGTGTTGTCTCTCTGGCCCCATTTTCTGTTTTTTTTTAATGATGACAGTACACCCAGAATTTTCTCAGGGAATGGTAGTGGTCAGGTAGCATCTCTCCTTCCTGCCAGGCAGAGGACCATCAGCCTGTATTCGCAGGAAAGAAAAGGTGGCAGTTAGGGTCAGGGAAACTTGGAAAGAGTTGGCTAGCATCAGAGCTGGCAGGAACCTTTGGGGTTTATGTAATTCAGTCCGCTTATCGCTTTGTAGGACTTTATTAAAATGAATCTTGATAGATGGTTCTATTCTGTTTTTTAAAAACCTCTAGAGAATTGGTGGGGAATTTTCTCAGCATGTTCTGGTAATCCGTGATTTTAATTACCAAGAGTTTCTTACTGTGGATT